GATTTCTCGCTTTCTGTCTCCCTGTCTCTCTCTCTCTGTCTGGTGAGCGCACACGCCCTATAGCAAAAACCTCTCAAAAAAAAAAGGGATTTCGACATTTATCCCACACCCCAAAGCCAGCGAGCAGGGGGTACCGCACTCCTGCCTCTGCCCCAGGGGAATGGGCGCTGCAGGGGCTTGGGGGGGCGGGGAGCCTCTGGTGTAACTCAAGTCAGGCCCTTGGGGAATGGTTTGGAAGGAATGACAGAGCTTGTCTGGATCCAATAAATAACTCAGGAACACTGTGCTGTTTGCATTCCCTTTGAAGTTTATTCAGAGAAGGTTCCAGAAAGTTCTTAATGTCTTCATTACTCTCCAAAATTTGAGAAGAGAACAAGATTCAGGTTATTACTGATTATGGCAAGATCCAAGCCCCCCTCCCTCACAACATTTCATTCTCAGGTAGTCTGGAAACCCTCTATCACCTGGTTTTGTCTTTTTACGTTCCTTTACAAACGGAGAAGGAGCCTCTTGGATGAGCGGGCAGACACCATTTGTAATTCTGGATTATCTGGTGTTGAGACTCTATTCCTGGTAACCACGGTAAAATAATAATAGTGGTCTTGGGGGGAGCTTGCTGGAACTCTCTGTCACTGGGGACCGCGCTGTAATGCAGGGGGCTATGCAGGGCCCAGGGTCCCCCAGGGCGGCCGGTCCCATGTGGGTCCAGCATTTGCAGCCGCTTGGCTGGCCGCGGTTTGCTGGGCCGGGAGCTCTGGGGCAGGCTTACACAGGCTGCAGTCGATTACCAGGAAGTATTCCCAGCTGTCAGTCGTGTCTGTACGGAGTGGCCTGCGAGTTCCTGGGCTCCAGGTCTGCACGGCTAGTGCTGGCTTTGGCTCCGGGCAGTGGGTTTAGGCGGTAAACACCTGCCCAGCCCCAACCGAGACAGGAGAGCGCAGAGCTAGGGCTTGGCCCTGCCCTTCAGGTGTCCGGCTCCCTGGGGCACGGATACAGGTGGAGGGGTCAAAATGCTAAGTCAGGGTGATGATCCGATTCTGCACGACTACTCTGCGGTTAGCATCACGACGGAACTCGGTCAGGGACATGTGGATCTGCGTGAGCAATTGTTAGGCTTTTTCATTTTCTTCTAAAAATGTTTAAAAACATTCATTCAGTTTTATTTATTATCATTTCTTTTTTTTTGGAGAGGTTTTTGCTATAGGGCGCATGCGCTCGCCAGACAGTGAGACAGAAAGCAAGAAATCCCCCCCCCCCGGGGGGGATGACCACGCCACAATCCCTTCGCCTCCATTTTCCTCTCGGGATCTTGGGCACGCACGCACATGTGCCCGGTATGACTTTTAAGCTACTGGGTCTGGGACTCGAACTGTGGTTGACTACATGGGAGTCCAGCAACAGGGCCATTACACTAACTGCTGTTCCCATTATCATCTTTTAATTGCTACAGGGCACCTCTTACCAGAAAGAGGTAGAAAGAAAGTGAGAAAGCAAGCTGCCAGGTCCGGGACTCAAATCACAGTCAGCTGTGTGGGAGTCCAGTGCTTTAACCACCACGCCACCTGCAGGCCGCTAGACTTTTTATTAACAGCTGTGGTGACTCTCCCAGGAGCTGAACGAGCTCACCAGGGGCGCGTTCTATGAGCCTTACTGTGTTGACCCTTGTTCCCCACAGCCCAGGGCAGGCTCGCTGTCGATTATCTGAGGGTCAGCAAGCCCAGGAGGGGTGACCTTCCATGTAGAGGAGAAGGGGCTGGAATCCAGCTCGGGCTCGGGTTCGGGCTCCAGACCCTGGGCTCTCTGCCTGGGCAGTGGCCCTCTGGGCCGAGGCGTCCTTCCCCCTCCTCTTGCTCCTGTCCTTGGAGCCAGCAGTTTTCCTGGTGTTCTCCTTCAACACCATCCCCCTGTCTACCGTGTGAGGTGTCCGTGGGGTCCTGGGCAGTAAAAGCCCACATTCCCTGGGAGCCCTGTGCTAGCCCCTGAGGCGGGGTCCCTGTCCTTCACGGGTGCGGACACCGAGGCCCGAGAGGTCCACAGGGCTCAGAGCGGCGGAGCTGGGACTGAACCCACAGAAAGCTTCTGGAATGTTCCACCCACTGCTCCTTCCCCGCCAGGATAAGGGTGTAACGTTGTCTCCACCTGCCCCTCCTGCCTGGAAACCAGCCAAAGGAAGGTGATGCCAGACAAGCCCTGCCATGCGGACCTGGCTCTGTTTCCAGAGGACCTCCACTTTTCCTCTATGTGTTGAAGACCCTTCTAGATTTGCAGAGTTCCTATTACATTCCTGCATCTAGTCAGAGAGCCCTGTCTGTCCTGCCTCCTACACTCTTCCTCCAACCAAACTCCGGCACCAAACTTCTCACGCACCTTTTCTCCAAAGCCTTCCACCACTGGGTTGCTCTCTTGACTGAATTCCTCCAACCAGCGACCATGAAGAAGGAAAAAGATGATTAGAAGCTAAAACTTCATTTTTTTTTTTTTTGAGAGTTTTTTGCTATAGGGCGCGTGTGCTCATCAGAAAGACAGAGAGACAGAAAGCGAGGAATCACCCCCCAGGGGGTATGGCCATGCCGCAATCCCTTCTCCTCCACTCTCCTCTTGGGATCTTGGGCATGCACGCACATGCACCCGGCGTGAGTTCAAGCCACTGGGTCCGGGACTCAAACCGCAGTCGGCTACATGGGAGTCCAGCGACATAGCCATTACGCTAACGGCTGATCCCAACAAGTTCAAACTTCTGTTGTTTCTCTTCACCACTCAGCGGGGGCTGGCGGCCACGCTTAGTGCAGTACTGAGAGCAGTGCCAGGACTAAGCTGCTCGGCCCTGACACTTCAGCCACTAACTGCCCTTTACCATTTCAGATGAGACACTTTTACATATTATTTTTAAAAATAAAAATTAGCTTAAAAATACAGTTAAAGTCACAAAAATAATACACAAAGACGTGTCTATTGTAACAAAAAGTCCCATCAACACAGAGCCCTGTGGGACACGAGACTCACCCTTGCGTAGTCCTCCCAGAGGTCACCACTGGTGGGCAGTCTGGCTTCTCGATTTCCGAGGGTCCATAACCTCACCGTGAGCGGGTACTCATACAGGACCCGAGTGCCAGGGGAAGCTGCTGGTTCAGGGAGCGCCACGCCAGGGGGTGGGCGGCTCCTGACCCGAGTGCTGAGAAGCTGCAGGTGCCCGCCCACACCGAGCGCCATGAGTGTGTGAATGAGCGCACACGGACTGAAGTCACACAACAGACTACTTTTTAAAAAAAAAAAATTTGAAAATAGTAATCTCTGTTTTAATTATAATTTGGGGATGGGGATGGGGGGGCTACAGTCATTTTCTCCCTTATTCACATTTCAGACTGAGATTAGCAGACCGAACAAGCATTTCAGCACTGGGAAAGAACTGATGTGCGGTGGGAGAGGGACCCGGGGAAGGAAAGGGACAGCTGTATCTATAAAAACCCTTTGCTTACATCTCGGAATGATTTCCAACGCCACAATTTCTTCATAAACGACGGAGTTTAGGAGAGGACTAAAGCCGGGCATGGGAGTGTTTGGGTTGACATTTTATTTGCTTCCTGTTTAATCCACAGTAGGGGCTGTTTATCAGCATTTAATCTTTATTTCCAACATGGTGTGAAGGTGCCAGGAATTTCAACCAACCACACACTCACACACGTGTGGGTTCCCAGCAGTTTGTGAACTTCCTTCCCTAGAGTTCTATCATTGGGGGAGGGTCTAGATTCTTCTAGAAGGAAAATTTAAACTTATAGAACAGCTTATGTTTCCATAGTAACTGGAAATGATGAAGGACACGGGGATCGTGGTTACAATCTAGATTCCCTAGGCCCAGAAATCTTCTCCTGGGGCTTTCCTTCAGAGGGGAGGAAGCCTCCGGCAATGACCGCCTCCGGCCAGCCTCTCCCACCGCTGTTCCAGGCAGCCTGGCAGCCATGCCCAGTGAGCGAGCCGGGACAATCCGCCCTTTGTTACGGCGGGATCATTTACGACACACACAGGCTCCCTCCCCTGCCTCGCCTTTCCAGAAATGTTTCGGATTAAGAGAGGAACGAAGCTTCAGCGTGTATTGGCCATGTTTGCTGCAGCGTTACAGAATTTTAGGGAAAACCAAACTTTCCTTCCACTCCTAATCGTAAAGCATGTCTAATGTCTCCCTGGGCAAGTTCAAACCAAAGGACTTGAAATCAACAGGCTTGAGTCTAGAATGAATGAACTCGCAGGCGGGATCAGGGAGATCACACGGGGAGAGTCAGGGATGAGTGGGAGTGATCACTAATTAGGCCAGTTGAAAGGCAACTTGACATCTTAGAAAAATTTTTAAAAAGAGGCTTTTTTCTTTTTTTTTTTTTTCTTTTTTCCTTTTTTAAATAGTAGAAACCATCTAAGCGAAGGTCCTGGTTGCCTGGTTATCGAGTCCCTCTGTGCAGGGCTCAATCACACACAGTCAGGAGCAGGGATGCTGGTTCTGGAGCCCCCGTGGAATGTTGCTGGACAGAGTGGGGACTTGTTCGCAGCTGGGCGGGCCATCTCCGGTAGATGCTCAGAAGCCGAGGTCTGGGTGCAGGCGGTCAGTTGCAAACAGCAGCTCGGGCATGCTACGTGGCTTCAGGAGTCGTGTGGACAGCACGATCACCTAACGACAGGAAGGCAGACATGCCGAGGTGGTTAGGGGAGCCAATGCAGCTATTAGATTTGGGAAATAAAATGCAACCCACCTTTGAGGGGAGGTGTGGAGTGGAGTACGTGAAGAAAAGGCAGAGGGAGCAGGTTGAATGTCCCTGATGACAGTGTGTGAGGGGGAGGGGAGTGCAGAGTCTGGGAGGGGTGACCTGCGGGACAGCTGTCATCCACAGTGTCCACTGAACCTTTGACCAACGCGACACTGAGAACAGCTGAGACTACACGGGGTGCATTTGAGAGGCTGAGCGGGCCACCCCCTTGTGCTGCTATCAATTTGAGCGGATCATGGTATGACATTGCAGTCACTTGACCTCATTGTTGAGGTTTTGTCCCCTTTCAGAGTCCTTTGCTCCTTTAGGGAGCAAGAGAAGACACACCTACAGGGGACACTGGTGATGGTGGCAATGACTGTATTATTGGATTGTGGGAAAAGTCATGAGGCATTTCTGCATAGAAAAACAGAGAGAAAATACTTCTCACTCTTCTGACAACCCAGCAGTTTCCTAGTACCACCAGCTGGGTGGCTGAAGCCACAGGAATGTCTTGTCTCACAGTTCTGGAGACTCGAAGTCCACGGTCGAGGTGTCAGCAGGATCGATTCCTCTAGGGGCCAGGGGGGTAGTGTGCCTGTGCCTTCTCCTGGCTTCCCCGTGTCTTCCTCCACTCGTCTCTGTTGTCGTGTCTTCATAAATAGGGACCTTAATCCAACGGCCATGTTGGATTAGAGCCCTTCCTAAGGACCTCATCTCAACTTGACCACCCACAAAGACTCTTTTCCAAGTAAGGTCATTTCATAGGGATTGGGGGTGGGGCTAGGAGTTCAACCCATGGGGGTGGGGAGCATAATCAACCCTTAACAATAGCTTCTGATGATGATGGTGGTAGCAGTTAATATTGGTACTTATGAGGTGCCAGGTTCCACGGATGATCTCATTCAATATCCACTTAATCCTCATAATCCCTTGTCCATTAGGCACACTTATTATCCCGATTTTTCAGATGAGGAAAATAAAGTACAGAAAAGTTAGGTCCCTTGTCCAAGGATGTGGTCCGGTCAGGACATGGATTGCTGGCTCTGGTGTCCAAGCGCCTCTGTGGTCAGTTCTCCATCGTCCAGGATACTGGCCTTCTGCTTGGCTCTTCCATCTGCATGGACCTCGGGGCCCCTCAGCCTTCTTGTCCTGGTGACCCTTCCAGCTCCCTCCGTCTGCACTGGCCTCTGGGGCAGGCTTCACTCCG